CTGGGGGAGGCCGTAGGGACTGCCGTCCCGCAAGTCCTGGTATGACTGTCCCGTCCCCTCCATGGAGAAGCTGCCGTTCAGCAACTGTCCGCCCGCCACGTCCCCCACAGTGCCGTAAACCCTGTTGGTGTGCCCGAGCTCGGAGAGGATCTGGTCTTCTGCCAGGGAGAGGAGGGAGAGCAGAGGGGAGTCAGCGCAAGGTGAAGCCCCCCAGCCCCTCTGCCCCACGCCAGCACCCCACTCACCACGGAAGCTGAGCTCGCTGTCGCTGACACCACAGTCCTCGGCCGAGCTCTCCTTCTCCAGCTTGCCGCCCCCACGGCTCCGCTTGACGCTCTTGTAAAACTGCCCCCAGCGATGCCGTCCCGCGTCCTTCTTCAGCCTCTTCTCCTTGGCCCGGCGGTTCTGGAACCACACCTGCGGTAGGACATGAGGACATCGATGGCACCACTGTGCCCTGGCAACCCTGCATGCCAGCACCCCTGCAACCCAGCATGCCAGCACCCTGGCACCCCTACATCCCAGCATGCCAGTATCCCTGCACCTCTGCCACCCAGCACTCCTACAACTCAGCATGCCAGCATCCTGGCACACCAGCGCCTATGCAACCCAGCTCCTACACGCCCACACAAACCAGCACCCCTGCAACCCTGCATCCAGGCACGCCTGCATCCCGGCACACCAGCACCTGTGCAACCCAACTCCTACACACCTACGCAACCCCACACCCCTGCACCCCAGCAGGCCAGCACCATGGCACAGCTGCACCCCGGCACAGCAACACCCCAGCATGCCTGCATCCCAGCACAGCAGCACCCCCCTGCAAAACTGCATGCCATCACGCCTATAATCCAGCTCCCATACAATCCAGCACCCCAGCATCCCTGCAACCCAGCTCCTGGGCACCCATGCCACCCCAATACCCCTGCCACCCCTGCATCCCATGAAGCCTGATGCCCCTGCAACCCCGCACCCTTGCACCCTGGCACCCTTGCACCCCTGAAACCCAGCACCCCAGTGGGACCCCTGCCCTCCCCTTCGCTAGGGGCAGGGTGGAGAGGAGTAGCCCCGTGGCCTCACCTGCACCACCCTCATGTCAAGACCCGTCTCGGAGGAGAGCTGCTCCCGCACATGCCGGGCGGGCTTGGGGGAGTTTTTGTAGGCATTCTTCAGCGTCTCCAGCTGCTTGGCCGTGATGGTGGTCCGGGGCCGCTTAGCACCCGCCTCGGAATCATCTGCAAGTGAAGGAGCCAGTACCAGCCCCAACCGCAGCAGTGTGAGCAACCTCGAAGCGCCAGCGCACGCCGCTGGAGAAAAGCTCCCCAAAACCAGCTGCCCCAGAGGCTGCAGCGACACCTTCCCACAGGTACAATGTCAGTGACATGACCCACAGCCACCCCTTGGTGTGGGGTCCCACCTCATAGCCCTTTCAGGGTGCCTACCATTCTGCTTGGCGGTCTCGTAGTCCTCCTTGCAGACCAGCCGCCCATCCTCCATCAGGTAGAACTCGTCGCCAGTGGCCAACTGCCGGCTGCAGATGATGCAGGCGAAGCAGTGGAGGTGGTAGACGAAGTCCTGGGCTTTGCGGACCACCTGGGTGGGGGGGATGCCCTGCTGGCATGCTGTGCATTTGGTCCCGAAACGCCTGCAAGGAGAAGCGGGCGACGCTGAGCCCCCCGGCGAGGTGGGCTTCGCTGGAGATGGGGTGGGAACCAGGAGACAGGGCAGAGTTTAAACCAGCAATCAACCTATTTATGCATGACACTTCACATGGCAGGGGTTTATCTTCTTCAGTGTGAAAGACTGGCCTAATGGAGCTGAGGAAGGTTTGATTTTAATGGTTCTTTTAACTAATGCTTATAGGCTGCCTGATTTTCCTCTGCAAGGACAGTACATATTTCATCCACATTAATACCAAATAAATTAATTACACCGCCCCGCTAGCATGATGAATCCCAGATTAATGCAGAATGATGGGGCTCTTACACTGTAATGACAGCCTGACGGGCGCATTGGGCAGGCCAGCTCGGGGTCGGTGTGGGCCCAAGCAAGCCCGCCAGCATGGCTGCAAGGAGCGTGCAAGAAGCGTGGAAGAAACATGCAAGGAGCCTGTAAGAATGGTGCAAGAAGCATGGAAGGAACATGCAAGGAGTGTGCATCTCACTGAGCGGCCCCCGCGGATCGCAGGCACTCTGCTGCAGAGAGCCTGGGGTGCCCGTCACTCGGGGTGCATCCACGAGATGGGTGCACCCTTGTGGGTGCAGCCAGGGCTGTGGTGGGGTGCAGTTGCCCTGTGCAGACATGAAGGCTGACACCCAGGTAACACCTAGATAACACCCATTTTTAAACTGAATTAATGGCATGAGGGTAACACATGCTGCAAGGTGGTGGCAGCACAGGAGAAAGTCAAAAAATAAGTGGACGTTGCCACTGGTGTTTTCAGCATCAGCCGTGTGGGCTTTAGGATTGACGTGCATAATCAGCACCACAAGGGCTCTGCTGGGTCTCTCCTGCTCCCTCCAGCACCCCTAAACACCCCATTAGTGGGGCAAGGAGACCCCACAGAACTGTCCTGGCATTGCAACAGCAGCCCAGGCAGCAAAGCTGTCAAAATAAATCTGTCCTCTATGCCTTAAACAGCCCCATCTGCTTCAAAGGAGGCAGCCCAGAAAAACCCAAGCCCTTTGGCCCCCAGTCCCAAGGCCTCAGGGGTGGGTAGTGGGTATCCAGGGGGTACAGCCACCCCAGGCTCCTCTCACTGCCCCCCAAGGGCTGAACATCCCCCATCCATGCAAAATCACCCCACAAGCCCCACAGCTGCCCGTGCCCTCATGCCATCCAGAAAGCTGGGGATCGGCCACCAAAGCTGGGTCCCTGGGACTGTCCCCAAGTCACACAGGTGTCACCCAGGGACGGGCAGTGAGCACCGGACATGAGTGGCACCAGTGCAATTTCGGTAGCTGCCCAAAGGGTTGTTGGAAGCAGAAGGTGAGGAGAGAAAATCTGTTTTGTCTTGGGTTTTTTGGGCTTGTATCCTAAAAGGAGAGTCCTCGGATACCTGCTGGGGAGACCTCAGCTCTCCAGGAGTCAGCTGGGAGGGAGGGAAGGAGACAGACATGGAGGGAGGGATGGATGGGATGGGAGATAGAGGGATAGGAGATGGAGAGAGGGAGGGAGAGATAAAAGGACGGAGGGAGGGACAGAGAGGTGTACAGAGGGAGGGATAGGACAAATGATACTTCTCTGTGCCCAAGGCTGAGCTGGTGCATGCTTTGCAGCCCCCATCCTCCCCCTGCCCATTCACACCCCCCTCACAGAACACTATTAAAGCCATTTTAACACACACACACACACACACACCCCTGCTCCAGCATCCCAGGGTGTTTCTGCACCACCCGGTGGGGGGCCAGACCCAGGACAGGGCTGCCTACGGCCAGGGACTAATCTGCAATTTGGAGGAGGGGAAAAAAAGATAAAAATCAAAAAATCTGATCTTTTCGGAAGCAGCTTCTGCGTTGCAAACCTGCCTCTGAAGTTGGTCTTAAATCCTCACGTCCTCCGCAGGTTACCTACCCCGAAATCAATGAGCAGTTGAAAGAAAGGTGAGGCGAGAGCCCGAGCGAGCGCTGAGATGCTATTGATTGGCACCAAATAATCCAGGCAGGACCTCATCTAAGAAAGTCGCTGATCTTTCAACTCTAATTAACATTGATTACCCGCACCTTTTGGGTGACTATTTAAATGACTTGGAGATTAATAGGCTGGAAAATATCAGAAGTGAAGTGTTATTACCCAGGCTGCAGCGGCTGCTTTGACCGTCGCACCCTCCCCAGCTGGGAAGGAGAAATTCA